GTATACCTCTATTTTAGTTTCATATGTCACTTTGTTCTATAGTCGCCTCCTTTATCTGTTGTATCTATCTATATCTATCTATCTATCTATATATATATATCTTTTCTTTTTACTTTATTTTTTTGGTAATTTACAGATAATTCTAAGGATGGATTTGTCTAAGGTTCTGATACTTGGTAGTACCCAAGGGAGACAGACAGATTATTTGCATGGTCCAAAGGGGTTAATGTAATGATTAAATGGAAGAAACTGAGTCAAACAGCAAAAATACGGGATATGGATCACAAACAACTCTGAGGCACTGTTATTGATATTGTGGGAAAGTTTCCACTAAGGAAAGTGGTAGACACTCCACCACTTAGACAGGTTAGAACACAACTGTAGAGGCATTAAAAAAATATATTAGAGAGATTCATCCTGTAAAAAGCCCTGGGAAGTACGTTATATGGCTACAGACCTCATTTCTAATTTTTGTGATTGTACAAAATTATATTTACAGAAACAGTACTTCAGAGTTGAAGAAAAAGAAAGGGAGCGGAGGGTAGTGTGGTGGCCTATAACCCCAGTTACTCAGGAGGCTGAGCCAGGAGGATCGCTTGAATTCAGGAGTTTGAGGTTGCAGTGAGCTATGACAACCCCACTGCACTCTTGCACTCTACCCAGGTGAACAGTAGCAAGAGCTTTGTGCTAAAACAAAAGAAAAAAAAAAAAAAAACAAAGCGTGGGAATTGCCGTCTACCAAAGAACGGGTAAACAAACATGCATGTATTCTTAACACTCATTTTTGTTTTCTTTGGTACCCCTACTTAGTACATTGATTAAGGTTCTTGAAAATATGAGGACATCTTCCAAAAATCAATCTGATGTCAGGAAATTCAACTGTCGGAATGAAATAAACATGGCCGGGTATGGTGGCTCATGCCTGTGTAATCCTAGCACTCTGGAAGGCTGAGGGTGGGGGGATTGCTCAAGGGTGCATGAGGTTCAAGCCAGCAAGAGTGAGACCCTGCCCTAATACGAAAACAATAGGAGAGAGGAGAATTAGTGGGACAAACTAGAAAATATATAGAAAAAATTAGCCAGGCATGGGGCCTCATGGCCCGTATAGGTCCCAGGGGTATTTGGCTAGGCTGAAGGGCAGGTAGGATTGCTTTTTGGGCCCGATAGGCGAGGTTTGGAGGTGCTGTAAGCTAGGCTGACGCCATGGCACTCTAACCCAGGCAACAGAGTGACACTCTGTCTCAAAAAAAAAAAAAAAAAAAAAAGAAATATTAAAAGGTTGGACTACTGAAAAGCTAGATGTGACATGGAATTTATGGTGAACAAAATTCTGTGGCATATTAAACTTCACAATATCGCTACTCAGCAAATAAATACACAGTATTTTATCTTCCATTTTCTTGAATACCTACTGTGTGCTATTATATCTTTCTAATACATAGAGATATTTGTGTGATAAGGAAAGAAATCAGGGGAAGAGGCTGGGTGAAGTGGCTCACGCCTATCATCCTAGCAACTTCTGGGAGGCAAAGGCAGGGGGATTCTCGAGTCAGGAGTTTGAAACCACCTGAGCAGGACAAGACGCCGTCTCTACTATAAATAGGAAAGAAATTAATTGGCCACTAATAGTATAAGAAAAAGTTGCCAGGCATGGTGGCGCATGCTGTAGTACCAGCTACTCGGAGGCGAGGCAGGAGGATCGCTTGAGCCCAGGAGTTTGAGGTTCTGTGAGCTAGGCTGACACCACGGCACTCACTCTAGCCTGGGCAACAAAGCGAGATTCTGTCAAGAAAGAAAGAAAGAAAGGAAAGAAAGAAGAAAAGAAGGAAGGAAGGAAGAAGAAGGAAGGAAGGAAGAAGAGAGGAAGGAGAGAAGAAAGAAAGAAAGAAAGAAAGAAAGAAAGAAAGAAAGAAAGAAAGAAAGAAATCAGGGGAAGAATGATTCCTAATATTTGACTTGTGGCAGGTCATTTAACTTTAATGATTTCATTGCTCCAACCACAAAATGGGAAGGATACTCTCTTACAATATTTGAATATTAAATAGTTAAATATGCCTTGTAAAACTGAATGTATTATGCCAAAAGTAGAAGTGACAAAAGAAAAAATAGATAACCTAGACTACTAAATTATCAAATTAAAATCTTTGGTGTTGCAAATGATACAATCAAGAAAGTGAAAAGACATCCACAGAATGGGAGAAAATATTTGCAAATTGTATATCAGATAACAGACTGGTAGCCAGAATATATATTTTACTATATATATATATATTTTTTTTTTTTTTTTTGAGACAGAGTCTCACTTTGTTGCCCAGGTAGAGTGAGTGCCGTGGCATACAGCCTAGCTCACAGCAACCTCAAACTCCTGGGCTCAAGCGATCCTACTTACTCAGCCTCCCGAGTAGCTGGGACTACAGGTATGTGACACCATGCCCGGCTAATTTTTTGTATATATATTTTTAGTTGGTCAATTAATTTCTATTTTTTTTAGTAGAGAAGGGGTCTCGCTCAGGCTGGTTTCAAACTCCTGACCTTGAGCAATCCTCACACCTCCTCTCAGAGTGCTAGGATTACAGGCGTGTGCCACCATGCCCGGCCTAGAATATATTAATATAAAGAATTCTTAGGCTCAGGCACGGTGGCTCATGCCTGTAATCCTAGCACTCTCGGAGGCTGAGGCGGAGGGTTGCTCCAGGTCAGGAGTTCAAAACCAGCCTGAGCAAGAGTGAGATCCCATCTTTACTAAAAATAGAAATAAATTAATTGGACAATTAAATATATATAGAAAAACTTAGCCAGGGATGGTGGTGCATGCCTGTAGTCCCAGCTACTCAAGAGGCTGAGGCAGAAGGATTGCTTGAGCCCAGGAGTTTGAGGTCGCTGTGAGTGAGGCTGATGCCACGGCACTCACTCTAGCCTGGGCAACAGAGTGAGGCTCTGTCTCAAAAAAAAAAAAAAAAAAGAATTCTTAGAACCCAACAATAAAAAGACAAATAACCAAATTGAAAATAAACAAAGGATTTGAATAGGCATTTGTCCAAAGAAGATAAACACAGGGAAAAAAATGTTCAACATCATTAGCTGTTAGGGAAATAAAATCAAACTACAAAGAGCTACCATTTCACATCTACTAGTATGGCTGTAATAACATAGGCAGACAATAACAATTGTAGGTAAAGATGAGAAGTTGGAAATCTTATGCATTTCTCGGGGAAATGTAAAATGGTACAGCTGCTTTGGAAAACAGTTTGGCATTTCCTCAAAAACTTAGACATACAACCCAGTAATTCTTCTCCTTAGGCATATACCCAAAAGAAGTGAAAACATATATCCACGCAAAAACTTGTACATGAATGTTTATATTAATAGCAGTATTATTCATAATAGTCACAAGGTAGAAATGACACAAAAGTCTATTAACTATGAATTGATAAACAAAATATACTATAGCCATACAATGGAATATTATTTGGCATTATAGAAATGAAGGACTGATATATGCTATAATATGGATGAAGCCTGAAAACATATGCTAAGGGCAGACACATAAGGTCACTAAGTACATTATTCCTTTGATGTGAAATGTCCAGAATAGGCAAATCCATTAAGGCAGAAGGTAGATTAGTGGTTGCCCTGAAGGGGAAATGAGTGACTTGTTAGTGGGTTTGAGGGTTTCTTCTTGGGGTGATAGAAATGTTCTGGAATTCGTGGATGATGGTTGAACAACTCTGTGAATATACTAAAACCACTGTACACCTTAATTAGGTAAGTTGTACAGTATGTGAATTATCTGACAATAATGATGTTTAAAAAAAGAAGCCAACTATTAACAGCAATGTCACCAGGGGTTCAAGTTCTGGCTTACACAGAATTCCTTTCCTGGAGAGCAGATAATATGCAAAGCCAGCAGTGGTTTAATCTTAGTTACAAATTCCTTACATATCTAGTAGTCAGGTTCCTATTTTAAGCATGTAGCATAGAAATTGTAACTCTTTTAATTCTGGAATGCAATCTTTAAGTTTACGGTGTAGTAAGCCGTCCAATACATTATATTTTTCATTTGTGGCAAAATCTGGAATTTCATGGCATTGGTACTTTGACTGCTCAATTTAAGATTTATATATTAGAAAATATTTGTATTCTTGTTCACCTGAGGATTTTTTCCCCCATTAACTCAAAATGTCTTCCTTTTGCACGTATTGTGCACACTTTGAAGTTATTTGGGTCTCTCATCCATTTATACTTTCAAATTTTTCTAATACTTTTATTTTTTTTAATTTTTAAAAATTTTACTTATAGATATTTCTTACTTCTAAAATTTATTTCTTTTCTTATTCCCTCCCCACACAAAGGGTAATAAAACCAATACTTTTGAACACATAAAAAAACCCCAGAAAGTAGCCCTTTAAAAGGCCTAAGTAAAATAAATTGAAGTTCTTTTGTTAAGAGTCTTCTTACAACTGGGCTTTCTTGAAGGTGGAAGAGGGTGCAGTAAGAGATTTTTCAAAATATGAATGGTCAACAGGGTGGATAACGCTCTCCGCAGAAAGGAGACGTTTTCTGTTTTGTTTTCCCTCGCTTGGGCGGCGGGTGGGGAGAGTCCTGTCCAGGCGCTGATGGGTTTCACTGCTCTGGGACCCCTAAAAAGCAGGCGCCTGGGAACAACGGATGCGCTGCGGGGACCAGGTCCCAGGCTAGCGCCCTCTTCAGGCCGACCTTCCTCGGGTGCGCGTCTCGGCGCCGTCCCTCCCCTTGCCATCCTACCCCGGCCAGGCCCCCAGCGCCTACAGCCACTGTGCAGTCGCCATGGCAACACCCAGTCGTGCCGCCCGGCCGCCCTGCCTCCTGCCCAGCTCTCTCTCTTCTCTGGCTCCTCCCCGCGCCTGGCGCGGCTATGGGGGAGAGGCTGGGGCGGGGGCGGGGAGAGGACGCAGGCGAGAGGAAATCGGCGGCGCGATGCCCGCGGCCTATTGGCTGCTGTGCCCCGGAGCCAGAAGCCCCGCCTCCCTGACAGGATCACGTGATCCCTTTCAAAGATGGCCGCCCTGTTGTTTTGATGAATAATACTTGGTGGGGCGAGAGGGTAAGAGTAGGGGTGGCGGGGTAGAAGGATTTACTCTTCCAGCGAGACCATCGCGAGTCCCATCCTTCCCTTCCCCCCTGCCCGGGTTCCAGCGTGGAGGCGGGGCGTGACTGGCCTGCTTTAGGAGGGAGGGGTTCCCCTTACAGTGCAGGGCTCTGCCAGGGCGGCTGTGGGGTCTCCTTGCCTCGGGGCATCCACTCTGCAGTCGACCAGTTCCCGCCAGGGGCGAAGGGTACGAAGGGGAGCAGGATCTGGTGCAGGAAACGCCGCTCCCGCGCCGGCACTACGAAGACAGCGGGCTCGGGGCACGAGGCGAGCTGGAGACGCTACCCAGTCTGGGTAACCTGGGAAGCAAAGGGTAGTAAGTGGCGCCTTAAGATAACCGTGTAGTAGCAGCAGCAGTGGCGGCCAAAGGAGGCTGCTCAGGGTACAAGCGGCTGTAGGAGTTTCTGGGGCGATTGGAGTGACCGAAGGCAAGGCATTTCAGTGCCTCTCGTGTTCTTATTTTTTAACCTCTGACTATGCAATTCTGAAGCCTCCCCCACTCGGGGGACCAGACAGCCTGATAGATACCTTCCACTCTCCTTCCTCCCGCTCTGGTCTCGAGAACAGAAGGATCGCTTCCTAACGCCTTTCACCATTAAGAGAAAAGCGATGGAGGAGCTGAGCGCCGATGAGGTGAGAAGGAGGTTGGGGAGGGGGGCACCTTGAGTGATTAGTTGGCAACTCTTTAGCGCTTTGGACAGGATGATATTGCGCCAGTGGTGCCTGGCCTTTGGGCTTGGGGAAGGAACGAAGATGACATTTTCCAAGAATAAAATGACTCCCTGAGAGGGACTCCGGTTTTATTCTCCTTTATTCTCTTGCCTTCTTTCTTAATTCTGAGCCCATTTGCTGCTTTTCGAGTGTTCTTTTAGGATCCGAAGAAAGGAGAGCGTCTTGAGGTGTTCATTCTTTTCTCAGGGTATGCAAGCAAGAAGGGCTGGATTTATATCACGTTAAATTGTGTTTGTGTCTTCAGGGATTTAAAGTATACTTTTGGATGGAATCAGAATGTTTAGTGGGTGTACGTTTTTAAAGGAAGTATTTGAAATCCCAAGTATGTGTGGCCATTTCATTTTATAAGTTAATTAAACATATCTTTGTGGTTGGGGGTTAACTTGCAGGCAGATTCTTTGATATTTAACAAAATATGTATCTTCTCATCAGTTTAGAGAATTCCAATTAAATTCTAACGATTTAATAGACTACTGATGACTCTGGCATTATTCTCTTTCATTCTACCTTTTCCTAGTTCTTGTTTCTTTCAAACTTGTGTTTTCCTGCAGCAGAGGCTGAACAGGAAGCAAGTGGAAGCAAATTACTTTGTAAACTCTCCCCTCTTCTCATTTGTGAAAAGAGTTTTACAGATCTCCTTCTTGATGTTTTAAAGATTGTTTAAGGGGGGAGGGGGGCATGGGCAATATATGTAACCTTAACACATGTACCCCCATAATATGCTAAAATTAAAAAAAAATAAAAAAATAAAGATTGTCTAATAAATTAGTTTGTCATTAAAAACAGTGGCAGGTAGGATACAAGGAATTTCCTGTGATTCTACTGACTTTACCCTGCCGTTTTACTAATTGGGAGCTTCCCTTTTAGGACACCTCTTGTTGATATCATTTCTTTCACTGGTTCATATAAACTTCCCTACAGTATTAAGAAAGTAGTCACATATCAGGTTGGTTGTATTGTAAGACTTCCATGCTCCACTTTTAGCTACAGAGTAGTATTTTAGGGACTTAAATTTTCCAGGGATAGGGCATGCAATGGTCTGTATGTTAAGGGTCAGGTAGGAAAATAAACAAATAATTTTGTTGGTTATGATACTTGGATACTTGGTTTAGAAAGTTTGGATTGCCCATCCTGTGTTAGTGACTTTGTTTTCCTCAGATACATCAGGAATTTAATTTTAAATGAGAAGAATATTGAATAGTTTCTTGCACTCAGGCAGGAAATATCAAGAGATCTCCTTAGAAGCGCTTTGTTTTATGTAGTTTTTAAAAGTATCCCTTTCCCCTTTTTTCTTTAATTTTAATTCTAGTGGGTATTTTCTCTTAAGGCAAAGAGTCTGTTTTTTACTAGTCTTTTACTCCCAGAAATTACTTTTTTTCTTGATCATCTGTAAATAGCCCCTACTTTAGAGGCTTTTACATATAGGGAAGAAGTAGGTCAACAGAACATTAAAATAAAAGTGAAAAATTAAAATCAGTAATATAGAATCAATATAAAATTATCTTCAACAAATTAGTTGTCCTGAGCACAAAGGGACAGTTCAATAAGTGGTTACCTTACTCTCAGTAGAACCTAGAACAAATAGTTTTTTGGGAAAAATCTCTTAAAGTTTTTTTTTAATCCAGTTTTTAAAATTTTGGGGTCAGGTGAGCAATACTCAACAAAGGTTTTGCCTGTGTATTGTCATTCTATGGTGGAATCTTGTGTCAGTTACAGTAGGTGATGATTTGGTTAGAAAATAATATATTACTGAAAATTCAAGAATATATTTCAGGGCTGAAACAGGCAAAACAGTGATCTATCAATCTAAATTAGGAAATTGGGTAAGGCAGAGTTTTATATTTTAACAAAATGAAAATGTATGAGAATAAAGTCCATGAAAAATAAAGGCTAGTATAACTAGACTAAAAGCTTAGAAGATTTTACATCATGGGCATCTTTTTGTCCCTCTCATAAATCTCCTTGAATTCTTGTGTGTTTTTTCTCCTGTGCTTTGAAGGTAAAGTACTTGAGCTTCATTGCTGTTTATTGTTTATATAGTGTATTACAGTGAGTTCATTGCTCTATAGAGCAAATTTATGACTAAGTTCATTCCCTTTAGGAATCTACATTCCAAGGCATCATTATTTACATTATATTCATTCTGTAGCCTACTTATGTTTTGTTTTTCATGTACCAAGATGGTGCCGTGAGTACGGCAGCGCAGGTGTTTTAAACTGTTTTTCAACAGTGGTGATGAGATTGCATTGAAATGATTTGTCTTCCACCCCCCCCCCCAACTCTTTATGACCTATTTCATCTGCAAGGTGGTTGGCTGGGATTCAGTGTGTGGTCAAGGTTTTAGAAGAGTGTTAAGTGTTCCTTCCCAAATGCAGAATATATGACCTTGGACTTTTTAGCAGTGTTCTGTAAGTGGAAAAGGATTGCCATTTAATAATAGCCTTAGAAGCCTGCTCTGTGCCAGGCGCTTTATAGCTATTGTCTCATTTGATAAAACATTGCAATCAAGCAGGTACTATTTTCCTTATATAGGTGGCGAAACTGAGATTTAGGTTAAGGAACTTGTCCATAGTGTACTGGCTTAAAAGTGACAGAGTTGGAATTCAAACCCAGGGCTTTTGACTCTAAAAGCCCTTTTACTATGTTTTACAGCTTAACAACTGGCATTCAATTTACCAAAGCTTCTGTATAAATACCCTACTAACATTGACCCACTCTGCTTGATATGCATAGTTTTTCTGTAGAAGTGTTGTTCTGCATGAATACATTAATGATGTGATCAGGGATTTTTGGTACTGATTCTCCTCTCCCCTACCCAATTGTTTTCACTGGACAAGATTTAAATAAATTCTAATTTAATTGGGGTAAGGGAGATAGATAGGAATCTAACAATTGTGGAGTTAGGCACAAGCCACTTCAGAAAAACAAGAAGAGACCCCTGGAGGGGCATTTTCTTAGTGAAGACTAAAGAAAAAGTGATACTTATGCTGAATAGTAGTTGCTTCTTAAAGGGCCCTGAAAACTGGCTGTGAGATTGGAGAGCTCAAGAAACAGCTGGAAGTAGTAGAACTGGAACACTGGGTTTTGCCTAGGAGGCCAGACAGGCACCAGATCTTGGAGGGCTGTCAAAAATGCCTAGAGTTGGACTTTCCTCTGTTAAGATGCCATTGAGGGATTTAAAGGGATTAGAAAGATGCCTGGCAAAGGTGTAGAGGGTGGTTTGGAAGAAGGTAGCTGCAGATCTCTAGGCAAATTAGAAGGCTGCTGTTGCTGTCTGTGAGTGAAGCCGTGGAGTCTGGCCTCCCAGAGAACTAGGATTACAGGTGTGAGCCACCGCGCCCGGCCCCAGTTTTGTTTTGGACTACTGAAAAGATGAGTCAACATGGAGACCAGCACCTTGGCCTTTTAGTCACTCTAGGCATTTTTGACAGCCCTCCAAGATCTGGTGCCTGTCTGGCCTCCTAGGCAAAACCCAGTGTTCCAGTTCTACTACTTCCAGCTGTTTCTTGAGCTCTCCAATCTCACAGCCAGTTTTCAGGCCCTTTAAGAAGCAACTACTATTCAGCATAAGTATCACTTTTCTTTAGTCTTCACTAAGAAAATGCCCCTCCAGGGGTCTCTTCTTGTTTTTCTGAAGTGGCTTGTGCCTAACTCCACAATTGTTAGATTCTATCTATCTCCCTTACCCCAATTAAATTAGAATTTATTTAAATCTTGTCCAGTGAAACAATTGGTAGGGAGAGGAGAATCAGTACCAAAAATCCGATCACCATTCAATGTATGTCATTGCAGAAACACTTCTACAGAAAAACTATGCATATCAAGCAGAGTGGGTCAATGTTAGTAGGTATTTATAAGAAGCTTTGGTAAATTGAATGCCAGTTGTTAAGCTGTAAAACATAGTAAAAGGGCTTTTAGAGTCAAAAGCCCTGGGTTGAATTCCAACTCTGTCACTTTTAAGCCAGTACACTATGGACAAGTTCCTTAACCTAAATCTCAGTTTCGCCACCTATATAAGGAAAATAGTACCTGCTTGATTGCAATGTTTTATCAAATGAGACAATAGCTATAAAGTGCCTGGCACAGAGCAGGCTTCTAAGGCTATTATTAAATGGCAATCCTTTTCCACTTACAGAACACTGCTAAAAAGTCCAAGGTCATATATTCTGCATTTGGGAAGGAACACTTACACTCT